TAAAACATGAACAAAAATGTACCTTATTAGTGTAGTTATTCTGATGTCTCTCGGGTGATTATACACCTTGTGTAATTCAATACAATGAAATTGGTAGAAGATTTATCTGAAGTAAATTTTTCCACATGAATCAAAAATATGTTTATTTTATTCGCAAAACAGTGTGATAAGAACAAACATGATTTTGTGCTAATGTCTATATGGTAGTTCATATAAGCTGTCACTAGGAGGCAGCATTAGTCTTTACCCTGACAGAATAAGTCCCGTTTAACTCAAAAGATCCTTGCGTTGGTGTGCTATGAAGACATATACTGAAAATAATCCTTGCATATCTAATCTATTTATTAGACTCGTGTCTGGTATTGCTTTTGAAGCATGGATCATGACTGTGTATTAAAATGTATTAATGAGTTTTGTTCAAAATGCATTGATCAGGCTGACAAGATTATTGCCAGTGCTGGGTAGTAATTTATGTAATTGAATTATGTAATCAAATTCCTAATACAAATACTTGTAATTAGATTATATAACATTTTAAAATACTCGTAATCAGAGTACAGTTACTTTTTTATTGATTACACGATTGCTTAATATTCACAAAATTATTTATGATTCACTGATTCTCACTAATTCTAATTTAAAAAAAAAAAAATCTAATTTTATCTTTTGAGTTTTCCTATTGCTTATATAGTGCTTATCTTCCAGTTTTGTGGAACTGCACACACAAGAGCGGTGTTAGCTGGCTATAATTACAAGGAAAATTTATAGGCCACTCAGGCCACAAAGCCCCTGCAGTTCCTACACAAACCCCAGTTTGAGAAGCCTGACATGTTTAATGCACTTCACTGTTGATAATAACAAATAGTGGAATAATGATTTTTTCTCTTTGTGTTTTTATATCAATATGCTACAAGATTATTCTATTCAAATCAATGTGATAAATGAGTTGGGTCAAAAGTATTCAAAAAGTAATCAGATTATATTACCTAAAATGTGTAATATATTTGTGTGTGTGCATGGTGTTCTTTGTGTGATTTGGTGTGTAAGTGAGGACCACCTCTCTCTATCTTGACTTGTGCTGTGTAATCAGAGTGGCTGAATGCCTGACTGCATATCTGACAAATATGTTATCTCATCCCACCTCAGTACTTCACCCAATATTTGCTTCAATTAGGGTCAGTTACTGAGATACCCAGCAGCTGTTCGGGTGCGTATGAGAAACAGCCTTAATTCCATGATGTTCTCACATACACGCCTTTCACTGCATTTCTATTGATATGTACGCTGCACTGCATTACAGTTCAACTGCTTGATTTAGATTTAGCTGCTAGGGGCAGAATCTGACCTTCTTCCTTTTTTTAGGCATGGTCTATTCATTCTGCCCTCAGAGGACACACAGGTCTGGGAATTAGCCACAGTATTAGGATGGCACGCTGAGAGGTCATAGCATGACTGTGAGAATGTGAGGACGACTAGATAACCTCATTGTGTGCTGTGCCTATCCATTGGCCCTGTTCCCTCTGCTATCGTGCTGGTGTTAGATATTAGTACGGATTTGGATAAAGGTGATGAGGTCATAATCAATAGTATCAATCAACAAGTGACATGCTGCCCTGGTATTGATCACTATGAAGATGTCGAAAGTGCGAGAATGGGGGGGGGGGGGGGGGGGGGGGGGGTTGATTCCCTTAGTTATCAATTAACGCTGACTATGGCAATAAGACCAATCTTTAATTGCATCTTAAACATTTTTTAGTGTCTATTTTTCCTGTGAAGTTGTTGACAACCTTTTTGATGAGGGGAGCCCCAACTTTCCACTGTTCAGTTTATATCGCATGCATTAAATCGACAACACTGACTGTAACACTTAAATATCAAGACAGATTGATTTATTAAAGACAGGCAAACATTACCACAATCTTTATGTACTTTATATAAATCTGTATATTTTTACTGTTTTTTAATGTACAAAACTCCCAATCTCTGGAAAGTCTAATTTATTCTAGTGAATCATTTCAACCTAAATGGTCCTCTCTGAAAAACCTAAGCTTGGCTGGTCTCAGCTGGTCTTAGCTGGTCTTCCAGCCTTGTCATAGCTGGTTTAGCAGACTGGTTTTAGAGTGGATTTGGACACTTTTTTAGCTGGTCAGGCTGGGAGACCAGCTTACCAACCAAATCCAGCTGAAACCAGCTACATCCATCTTAACTAAGACCAGCCAACCAGCTTTTTCACCAGGTATGAAGCGTAACTTCATATAACATTGGGTAGCCACATTCATTGAATTGATTTGTCCTCTCTCATAACGTTGGCTAGTCCGATTCATTCTAGTGAATCAGTTTGATCGGATGGTCCTCTTTCTCGTATACGTATAACGTTGGAAGGTCAATTTGTTGTAATGAATCGGCTTGTTCGAATGCTCCTCTCTCTCACATGTAACGTTGGAAAGTCTGAATAATTCTAGTGAATTAGTTCATACTAAACTAAGTCCTATGCTAAGTCCTAGTCTATGCTAAATTAATCCTTTAAATTTAAGTCCTCTCTGTCATAGTATCAGTAATCAGTTTGTTCAGACTGTCCTCTCTCATGTAAAGTTGGATGGTCCAGTTCATTCAAGTGAATCTTTTCATTAGGACGATACTCTCATGTAGCAAATCATTTTATACTGGTTTGTTCGGTCAGTCCTCTCCCTCATTAATGTTGTATAGTCCAATTTATTCTAGTGAATCGGTTCATTCAGATGGCTCTCTCTTATAGTCTGATTCATTCTAGTGAAATGTTCCCCTCTTTCATATACTTTCAGAAAAAAGGTATAAAAGCTGTCACTGGCGGGGGACCCTTTCAAAAGGTACAATTTTGTCCCAAAGAGTGCATATTAAGACCTCAAAGGTACATATTGGTACCAAAAGTGAACATATTAGTATATAAATGGGACATTGGAACCTTTTTAAAAGGTACCGTGCAGTGACAGCTTGAGCTTTCGTACCTTTTTTTTTTTTAGAGTGTATAGCATTGGAAATGCTAATTAATGCTATACCGGAGCACATTCGTATGACCTTCTCTCTAATATGTAACATTGGGTAGCTAGTTCAATTAGTGAATTGGTTCATTTGGACATTTCATAAAAATTTACAGAAATTCACTGTTACTTGAATGTATTTATCTACTTTTGTGTAGACTTTTGTAGCTTGACAAGCTAGAAGCTACATTTTCAAAGTAGCTTCCGCAACATTGCTTCAAGGCTCTGACTCATAGATTGAATTAAACAGAGTAAACAGAGGATAGGAAAAGAGGAAAAAGGGATGGAGCAGAGTGGGCAGAGGCAAGTCCTGAGGTTCTTAATCATACCTGTTTGACACTCAGAGATTTAGGCCATCAAGCAGTGCGACAGCCATATCGACCGCCCATGTTACACATTAACTTTCCTCTCTCAACCAGGGAGACAAGCAAACACGACATACAGAGATAATACAACTAGACATCATGTCTTCTCCCACCACAGTCTCTGACTCTTTTTTGAAATTTCCTAAAGGTTGTGAAATCATAAAGACTGCTCAAATGGGAGACTGAAAGCATGACTCTCCAATCACCATCGACACCATTTTGTCTGGGAGCTTTTGTTTGTCTTTTTGCTTGCTTGTGCTTATCAGGACAGATCATGGCCTTTGAGATATAGAGGCAGCTTTATTGATCAATCCCAAACATGGGAGGGTTGGGGCACTGCAAGACCGGATGATGTGACGGAATAGGCATGACGGTGACCATAGGGCAGGAATGTCCGCTGAACTTGATGTCAGATGGATGGAGTCTGGATGAGCTTGATAGAAGGTTATAAGCTGTCCACTGTGGACTATTTAATGTTAGATTTTGGTCATTTATCCGTGTATCATTTAAATGTGAAGTCCCTGTGAATAGCTATGTTCTGGATCAAGCTGGAGAAAGAGAAACACAAATCCCCCTTTGGCTATAGGTAAAGTGCAGCAAGCATGAAATGAGAAATATTTTACAGTACGCAGCACTTTGAAATAAAACATGATCACCTTGAGACACAGGAGCAATCATGACTGTAGTAAATCATACATATCAGCTGGCTGTTCTTGGAGGCTGATAAACCACAATTAGGGCAGTAATTTCCACGTGTGTGTATGATGGATGGAGCCAGGCAGTCTTTTAAACACCCTAGACAGACACATTCATACACAGACTTGAATGGAGCCACTTGACGGTTTAATATCCACATAAATCTCTGTCAGACAATTCTAAAGACCAGTCCCGATCACAACTCTGTGAAGGTGAACAGTTGCTTGGTGTTTATCAGGTGTTATGCCATGTGTGAATCACCATGGAGAATACACATTTAAAACATGTGATTCTGGTTCATTTGTGAAAAATAACCAGATGACAAATAGAAAAAAATATATTCTGTCAAATTCACATCATTAGATTTTGATATGACAATCGTTAGAAGCAAATTACTGATAACGCAATGATACATTTTTTAAAGTAAAACATGAAAACCATAAAAAAATCGTAAGCAGTGAACCATGGAACTAAGGCACAAAGTAGGCTATAGGCTATTCTATTATTTTTTACCTATATAGGCCTACCCCTGATTTCATAACATTAAAAAAATAGTTATTTGTTATATTGTGGTTTAATTGTTATGTGTATTGTTCTCAATTATAACAATAAATAAAAACTAAACAAATGAGAGCCCTACGCGACGTCATGCGCTAATCATGTGACGTATTAGGCCTACAGGTAGATCTATTCAAATCAGGAACAAGCCAAATTATCTACTTGTCAAAGCGCAATAACTACTATTGGTGAGCTAAATCATTAGTTATTATTCTGTTAAACAATATATAATAATAAATATTATTATTATAAATAAGACAGCTAAGAGGATAGGCTACATGATAATTTTACGCATTTGTCTATTTTTGTCGTAATTTTCAATGAACTCAGTTGGTATGTTCCACTCACAATAAAACGTAGCTCAATGAAATTGTTTTGTTGTGGGCCGAAGACCGACCTACCACCTGTTGACAGTAGCAGTTTATAATCGACTAGAATGGGTGAAAGAATTCAACACCCGAATAAACATTTAATTTGTTCTTTCTCTGACTGTAAAGCGACGTTTTCAAAGCTTTGGAAGTTGGAAACGCATTACTGCAGACACACTGGACTGGTGAGTGAAACACAATCAGTAACTTAATCTTGTCTGGATTTTAGATGCTCCTCTAGTGTTCATATTAGTAGGCTACTTCGTGGTCTGAACTTTTTATTTTAAAAAGTCGTTGCCTACTTTTATTTACTATTCATCAGAAGCCGTTTGCTTGTGGAAACTGCGAGAAGAGCTTTTGTACCCGTTACCAGCTTACCCGACATCAACTGAGCCACAGTGGCGAGAAACCCTACCTGTGAGTCCACATACTGACAGCAAATTCTTTTGTTTACTCGAAGAACTTGCATATATTAAGACTTGTATGTAGGCCTTTGTGTTTTTTAATTATTATTTTACGGCATTTTAAAGTGTTTCGTCTTGAGTTATGTAGCCTACTTTTATGTACGTTTCACTTTGAAAACAATTTTGTAGTGGTGTAAATTCTGATTCATGCCAGTGACCTTTGGCTTTGTTCACTAAAAGTCTTTTTCAGTGACCATTTCTGCAGTATACGTTATGCCAGTAGGTGGTGACAAATTATTTTTGTGTGTGTTCTGATTGAGCTGAATCCTCATCATTGAATCTTTTACGCAACCGATTCAACTGAACGAACGATTCGCCCCTTTTGCCTGACCTAGCAGCAAGCTGTCTGTCCAGAGAGTGTTTGTAGGCATGATATGTTGCCTCAGAGGCTGTCTAAGTGGGCTGCTCACTGAGGTTTTTAATATGCAGTCACAGAATACCCTTACTATGCCCCTTTTGTGTACATTTCTGCTGATCAAAACTGGTAAAGGTGCTCCGTCAGCGGGTGTTCAGCTGCATTTTCCACGCCTGGCAGCTTGAGGAACCATGTTGCTCATGTTCACCACCACGAAGAGAAGTATTATGTGGTAAGTAATCTTGTGATTATTGATTAAAAGTGGTTTATTGTATAATTTCAAATGTTTACTTTGGTCCATTTACAATATTTTGTAGTGCAACCATCAAGGCTGTGGAAAGGAGTTCCGTAAGAAAAAGCAACTGAAGATTCACATGTGTGAACACACAAATGAGTTGCCCTTTGAGTGAGTTTTTACTATTATTATTATTTTTTAGATCACATTAGGGTTACACATTATGTATTTTTCCCTCATTGTGACCAGCTCCTCAATCTCATTCTGACAGATGTGACTTTAAGGGATGCAACAACAAATTTGATTCCTCTAAAGCTCTAAAACGACATGGGAAGGTACATGAAGGTAATAGAAAACCTTTTCTGACTTTCAAACAATCAAGTTTTTTTTTTAAAGATCTAACTCCATTTTTTCCCTTTTTATAAATTTAAGTTTACCCATGTGATGAGGAGTTCTGCAACTTCAGAGGAAAAACTTGGTCTGAGTATCAAAAGCACAAAAAGACTGCACACAGAGGTGTGTGCGAAGTCCTTTTGATTACCGTAATCAAATTGAATGCAAGTTTATCTGTGCTCCGTTTTCTTTTGTTTGCAGTTACCCTGCCATGTGATCAATGCAAGAAGATCTTCCACAACGCCTGGTTTTTGCAGAAGCACAAACAATCCGTTCACTCTGGGGAGCGGCGCATGTTTAAATGCTCTAGAGAGGGCTGTCAAAAGAGCTACACCAAAAACTTCAACCTGCAGAACCACATTCTGGTCTTCCATGAGGGAAAGCACGACTTCACCTGCCCTTTTGCAGGCTGCGGTAAAGCCTTTGCTATGAAGGTCAGCATTTTCCTTTATTATGGTGGAGTATCTTAAATGACTAATAAATTAATTAATTTAACTTTTATTTTTTACAGGAAAGCCTGAAGAGGCATTCTGTAGTCCATAACCCTCAGAAGTCAAAACTGCCGGTAAACATATGTAGCAGTGCACCAATTGTGTGTGTTTGAGACGTATTGGAGATGCTCATTTGAATATGATCTTCTTACAGAAGCCAAAAGTCAAGCCGCGCAAACGCAAGGCGACTTCATCCAAAACAGATGCAGCTAAACTATCTGAGCACCTGCAAAATGTGTCCTTGAACAAGACTGGATCAAAGAAGCCATTGCCTTAACTTTATTTTTCATGGAACAATCCCCTTTTGTCCCATATTTTCCTCAGTTTCTAAGTTTTGTTTAGTTTATACAGACATGATGTTTTCAGTTTAGATTCATGAAATAAATGATCACTGCTGCAACTCTTTTGTTTTGTGGTGAATAAAGTTCATGATGGTGGAAGAGGAACAGTCTCGGTTCATGTTAACTTTTCAAAAACATGTTGGGCTGGATAGCGGGTCCCCGAGACCTGAACTTTGACGTCAAAGGCAGTTGGCAGCTTTTGGAGCGCAGCAGTGACTGTTTTGTAGGCCAACCTGGAATTTGGCATCACCCTGGTTCCCTCTACAACAGCCTAATAGGATTTTTCTATTGATTTGGATTATTGCAGAAAATGAGCTCTGTCAAAAAAGTGTCTTAGATGTTTATAATAATTTTCACCAATGAACAACTTTCATGAATTTGGAAGCCTAAATACAATCACCAGAAGTAAAAGGCTAAACATTGGCTAAAAACGAAGATATCTTGAGTTTAACCACAGACCTTATTTTAGGTTTAGTTTAACGTTTTTTTTTTTCAATGAAGACTTCTATTCTGTGTACACTGATACTGTTTTGTAGTTACTTTCTTTTATCCTGACAGATGGTAGTTATGGCATTTGCCAGCAGGAGCTAATGGGGGGACATGCTTAACCACCCAAACCTTGAACTCTTGCCCAAAGATGGTAGCAAATGCTAAAATCCTCTGAGATATTGCTGCTGATCTTTTCAAAGATTTTCAAAAGGCATTTTAGGAGGGCAAATATTTATCCCACATTTCATCTCTAGAGAGCTTGGAACTTTTAAACATTAGACTTTTCTGAGATTATTGTAGTAAAAAGGTTGGATCAAATCTGTTAAGTGGGGTTAGATATCATTTTTACACATCAACTGAGGCTTAACTCTCATATCCTCACTGGGAAAGATTTATTAAACATCTGTGCACATTCATCCATTCATACTTGCACACATACACTTTTGTTCGGTCTCTCTTTTACACAAACATTCACAAACGTAGATCACATTTAGAGATAACATGTATATAAAACCTCCGGTAGAGTGGACTGCTGTTCGGCATGGTGAGGGGAGACCTTAAGGCTGCTCTCCAGAGGGCGGTGGCCTCATGGGCGTGGCAGGTTTTCTAAGGCCTTGTTTATTCAGCATCAAGTAAAAGCATTCAATTTTCCGAGACTGGCTTTGACAGTATGGTGCCTCCGTGGCAGAGAGTAGAACACAGGACCATTAGAACACAGATATGAGGTGAGGCATGGTGCCCTGGTGGGGTTAGATTAGACTTCCTGGCCAGGACACGACGGTAAGCGCCACTCTGCTCCGCTGCTCCTTCAGCATGGGCACCAGCGCGGAATGACTCATGCCAGCCGTGGACAGACAGTTTACCGCCACTATCATGTCACCACACCTGGATGGAAAAAGAAGCATTGTGACGGTGTCAATCAGTATAAAATGGTAATTTATTAATAAAAATGTATTATGTATTAAATATGTAAAATACATTTTTTTTACGGTTTATTGGTTTATGACTATAATGAAACATGATAACGAATTATATTTCATAATTAAAAATGAATTTAATAAATATATTCCCTAAATGTAATAATTGTAATTAAAATTAAAAATAGTGTTTTTGTTTAGTGTTTACCAAAAAAATATCTTGAAACACTGATGGCCAGAGATTTTTTCTTGTTTTTTTTTCCTCCACATTTTAATCAAGGTAATATTAATTAACAATTACCATCGCACACCTGCAGGTAATAGATAGGTGCGTAGGAGAGAAGACCACAAAAAGTCAAATCTAAAAAACAAAAGGAAATCCCACACACTACCAATACTTGCAAAAAGTATCACTAAATATTTATTAGCAACATTTCGGTCTCATGACCTTCATCAGGCATATACAACAACATACAGTTCAAGCTCAATCATTGATTGTATAGTGTGCGGGATTTCCTTTTGTTTTTTTAAATCAAGGTAATATTGAAAGTGCTGTATCATCTAGCCGTGATGCATTAATTCATTATTTATTGTTTGTTTTGTTGTGCTTGCTCACTTCAGACGGCCATCGTAGTAAGCGGGAGTTCCAAGGACGATGGTCTTGATAAAGAACGCCTGGTTGCTGTGGTTCTCCTCATAACCTCCAACAATGCTGAAGCCCCAGCTGCCAGGGTGACTTCTGCGGAGGACAATCTCATGACTGCTATGCAGGTAGCTGTGACAGAGTACAATGTGGAAAGTAAGTGTGCATCATCAGGAAACATATTTTTTCCATTTAATCGCTGACAGGTCAAAAATTGCATGTCAGATAACTTGGAATACTAGGGGACAACAGACATAGAACAACAGATGCATGTTGGTAGGAGACAGAGAAATGGAGGATTTGGCACAATGACAGGAAGGGAGAAGGAAACAGAAGGGTGCCAAAGCAAATGCGATGGATGATAAAGGACAAAAGGGAGGACAGAGTGAAAAAGGAAAGCGCGAGATTGGACTGAATGACCCGAGGCTAGGCTAAAATGGGCTAGGAGCAAGTTCTCTCCACATGTGCGTTTCATCTGATAATCTGCAGCTGTTTACATCACGACACAGCCATAATCCCCTCATGGGTTAACACTGCATAAAGCTGCTGATCCAAAACACATCAACACTACAGACATTTTACAGAAAAGTCCTCAGAATTGCTGCCTTTTCCCCCTTCAAAGCTGTTTCCACTCAGATTTGGATGGGAAAAAGTAGGTGAAACGAAACCTGGCATGATGGTAGTCCTGGCCAGATTGCATTGACTATTTTAGGGTTATTTGGATCAGTGCTCAGCAAGGTGAGGAAGCTATTTTTAAGTCTCCTAATGGAGTCTGAAAAGCCATTTGGACTCTTCCAACAGTACATCCACTCAAATAACGCTGTTGTTTTATTTCACTCATCAAACACTCTTCCATGTGAAGCTCTACAAAATTTAATTTACCTGGGAAGTCCAAGCCACATCACCCATGATGGCGACCAGCTTGCGTCGTAGTCGTTTTCGTGCGGAGGGAGAAGCTCTTCGTCCAGGCCCGGTTCTTCAACTGTGCTGACCTCTAGTGCCTTCAGTTGGACAGAGCAGGATGCGGCGCTGGTCTTCAGAGTGCCCACTGCCTCGCTGTGGCTCAGGTAGGTCAGATCCTGACCATTAATACTCAACAGTACATCCCCTGAGCAATGAGAGACGACAAAGACACTTAGAGACACTCCAAACAGCCACACAGAGAGGACTGCAACACGGCTGAAGCCCCATGGAGACAGGTTTCACTTCAGTGCACTTCATCATCAGACACACAAGCGGGAAATTGTGTTTTCCTGTTTTCCTTTTTTGGGGGGGCCTTTTTCTCTAGAGGACAGGAAGCACCACAGCTTGATGTAAAGTGAATCCACAGCGTTAAATAGACAGCACGATCAGTGTAGTCCGATTATAGAATTAATAACTCTGAGTTGGTTCTTTTTGGGGAATCAACCACATACAGTACAGCCAGTGTAGTCTGATTTCCAAACAAATTATTCTAATGACTCTATTCTATTTAGTGAATCAAACACATAGAACCAGTTTATTCTGAATCCTGAATGCATGACACGGTTCTTTTTAGTGTTTTAAACATATATCACAAACAGTGTAGTGTGATTCTCGAATGAATGACTAATTACTTGGGTCTTTTTAGTAAATCAAACATAGCAAGTGTAGTGTGATTCCCAAATGAATGACTCTAATGAGTCAGTTCTATTAGAGAATCAAATGCATATAGCACAGGCAGTGTAGTCTGATTCCCTAATGAATGACTCTGATGAGTCAGTTCTTTAATACCCCTTTTCCACCAAAAACGAACTGGTGCTGGTTCAAAGTTGGTTCGGAGTTGGTTCAACTTGCGAAACTTCTCAGAACCTGTTTGTTTTTCCACTAGAGCGCCCAGCGAACGACGTCGTTACGTCACTGTGTACGTCGCCATACATCTTAGCTAGAAACGCTTGCAAGTACAACATTACTTTGGGATTATCTCTAACTCGTGAACCAAGAAGGCTTTAAAAACAATTGAAATATGTAAGTCTTTTAATCTTTTCCTTTGATATGTAATCTTTTCTGATTAGTTATGTACTCCTGTCTTGTGTATTTTTTTTCTTTCCATTTATTTGTTCTATAGTACTGACTGTTTTCTCCTTTGTTTACATAACGTTTTCAATAAAAAAATTGATAAAAAAAACTAAAAACGCTTGCGCCAACTTCAAGCATAACAATTACAATGGCGGACTACATCGTGTTTCTGCAAATGTTTCTCCTGGCTTTGCGATCCTATATTATGTCAGAAAATATGTTATCTAAACCCGCCCCCAGCCCCCGCCGTAAGCATGACGTGGTAAAAGAACGGTTCTAGTCCAGCAAAGAGTTGGTGCTGCTTTGGAACCAGTTTTCCTGGCCGAGAACCGGTTCTTTGGCTGTCGAAACACAAAGAACCGGTTCGCGCGCAGGCACCGGCTCCGAACCGGCTCTCAAAATGCGTTGGTGGAAAAGGGGTATTAGTGAATCAAACATATACAACACAACCCGTGTATTCTGATACTTAATGAATGATTCTAATTACTCTGTTCTTTTTATTAAATCAACCACATAAAGCACAACTAGTGTACCGGTAGTTGGTTTCGCAAACAAATTACTCGAATGAATCAGTTCTTTTTAGTGAATCAAACGCAAACAGCTTACAACGAACTGAAACTTTAATAAGTTTAGTTACGGACTGGTTGTTCTTAAGACAATGTGAAGTTGCTTGAAGTTACCGCAACAAACGGCAAGAAAGTAACACATTATGCAATTTGTCAGTAGTATTTTATAAATATGATTGAATTAAACATTTGATTTGTTTTAGTATTGTTGTTTGATATATAATTATGGCCATTATTGGATTGCATTTATTCTGCCTCTAAAAAGTCACTAAACACACTTTTTGAAAGAATTGTTTTAAATGTATTTATTTTAGGGATGTCCCAATCAAGTTTTTTGTGCCCCCGATCCGATCTAAGTCCTTGAATATTAAGTATCTACCGATACAGAGTCCCGATCTGATACTTGT